GCCCCTCGGTGGGACTCCACCTCCCAGAATTCCCCGCGCCGGCGACTCTGCTGGGCGGGGGATTCTGGGCGCTCTCGTTGGGAAGGGGCCGAAGCCCCCCCAAGAACCCCCCCTCCACCGCGGGCTTGGCCCCTGAGCATGCGAAGAGCGCCTGGCAGATTCCCCTTTCCCCACCTCCCCCCACCCTACTGGGACGAAGCCTTTTGGAGGATATTGGGGGGGGGCGCGCGCAAAAAAGGTCCCTCCTTGACTCCTTGACTGTCAGGCTCTGCCCTCCCGCCCTTGGCTCGCTCTTCTGCCCTGGGGGGTCCTGGGAGTTGAAGTCCCAGCTCCCCCCTCCCCCCCCGGTGGAGAACGCCTGAGCCCTTATTGGCTCCCTGCTCCCACCGACAGGGACTGGCCTCGCAGCAATCCTTCGGCCAGACACGCACGCACGCACGCACACACACACACACACACACGTGTGCATACATGTGAAGTTGAGGGGAGGGGGTGCTTTGCCAGCCTTTGGTTACCAAGCTGGGCCCTGAATCTCGCCTGCTTGGACTGGAGCCCGAAGCGGGAGGGGGCCGGCCTGCAGGGGCTCTAGGCCGGGGCCGGTGGAGGTGGGCGAGCCCCGTGTGAGCTGCCCACTCTTTTCCCAGCCTTGCCTCCAGTTGAGAGCCACTGTGCCTCAGGCGTCTGCCTTGTCTTCCTGTTGTAGCTCCTGGGAGCTCCTACACCATGGAGAAGTTTGGCATGAACTTTGGAGGTGGCCCGAGCAAAAAGGATCTGCTGGAGACCCTGGAGGCGCAGAAGAAGCAGCTGCTCCAGTACCAGTCCCGCCTGAAAGACGTGGTCCGGGCCTACAAGAGCCTCCTCAAGGAGAAGGAGGCCCTGGAAGCCAGCCTGAAGGTGCTTTCGGTGTCGCACGAGGCCGAGGCCAGCCTGAATGGCCGAGGGGCCCCTCCCCTGGGGCCGACTGCTTCCAGCCCAGACCCCAGTGAGGACAGGAGCTCCGTTCACAGCGAAGACAGCGCAGGGACCGTGGCCAGCCTGACCAGCATCAAGGGTGACCAGGCAGGGTCAGGAGCGGAGGAGGAGCAGGGAGCCCTGGCTCCAGCCTCTCCTGTACAGCTGGAAGAGGCCAACGGCTCCGAAAGCGGGGTGAGCTGCAGCAGCGGCGAGGTGGCCGTGGCCGGTGCCGACGAGGCCGAAAGGCGCGTGCTCCAGCTGAAGACCCAGCTGGCCACACTGACCAGTGCCTTGGCCACCGTCACCCAGGAGAAGTCCCGCATGGAAGCCTCCTATCAGGCCGACAAGCGAAAGATGAAGCAGGAGATGGAGGAGGCCGGCCGGAGGTCGGAGGAGGAGAGGAGCCGCCTGGCGGCCGAGGCCCTGGAGGCCCAGGCCCAGCTGGCGGAGACCAAGGCCCGCCTGATCACCCAGCAGCATGACCGGGCCCAGGAGCAGAGTGACCATGCCCTCATGCTGCATGAGCTGCAGAGGTTGCTGCAGAGCGAGCGCACCCTGCGGGAGGAGGCGGAGCAGAGCCTGGAGGAGACCCGGGAGGTGCTGGCCGGGAAAGCCTCTGTGGCCGATCGTGCGGAGGGCTCGGAACGCCAGGCCAAGCAGCTGCTCCAAGAGGTGGAAGAGCTCAGGAAGGAACTGCAGCTCGTTCGAGTTGAGAGCAGCAGGCCTGACCCCCAGCTGCTGGAGCTGCGGGCAGAGATGGACAGCCTTCGCGGTCACTTCCAGGCCCAGCTGCTCCAGGAGATGAGAAAGGTGAGCGGAGGAGGCCTATCGCATTTGGCTGGAGGAGGTGTTTCGGTGAGGGTGGACAGCGGGAGAAGTGGGGGACTGGACCTTTAACAAACAAACAAACAAACAAACAAACAAACACACACACACACACACACACACACACACACACACACACACACACACACACACACACACACACACACACACACACCCCCG